CAAGTATAACCAACTAAAACCTGTCTTTAAGTAAAAGCATACAAGTATAACCAAATACTAAAAGTATGCATAAATAAATCTAAATAAATCGAATAAGTCTAAATTGAGGTAGAATAAACCCGGCTGCAGGTTTCCTCTGTTGTCTCGTGTAACTTGAACTCTCTGAGACATTAACCTGCTTCATTCTTCAGACAGCGCATCAAATCCATGTTCTACCACGCCTACAACAGCTACCTTGACTACGCTTTCCCCTACGACGAGCTCCGCCCACTCACCTGTGATGGACAGGACACCTGGGGCAGGTAAGGTGACATCATCGGGTTTTGGTACAACAATACCCCAAATCTGCTAAAGTTAAAGAAGGTACTGCAGTGTGTTGATGTATGAACGTCACAGGTCGATTTATTTCATTTAACTTGTAATTAATGTAACTTTTTTTTACTACTTCTCTCATTTCTTATATTCTTAATGGGTTTTTTTCACTTCCTTTCACGTATATATTTAATCATCTAGTGTCGTTCTATTGTCTATTTGCTGTTGTTTAAATCATTTTCAATATAAAACTCTTTGAGAGACGTCTCTTGTATGAAAAGCTCTCTATGAATAAAGTTTATTATTATTATTATTATTATTCATCTTTTTCTTTACACTTAGATTCTTGTGTGACGAGAAAACCTATTTTGAAGTTTTTATAATTTGATAAGTTTGCTGTCTTTTCTTTCAGAAATCCAAACTCTTGAAACATTTCCTTATTAGTGTATTAATACACAGAATTAACTCATGAAGTTATATACTTTTCTTCACCCCGTTTATATGCGTTTTGTTTAAATGTATTTTTGTTTAGATTTTGGCTTTTAAACTTAAATTTCTCTCAATTCGTCAAATCCTGCTCTTGTGTAACGTCTTGTTATATTTTGCTCATGATATTCATATTTTCTCAAATAAACAGAGAAAATAATGAAATGTTCCTCCGTCTTTGCTCAACAGTTTCTCGCTCACTCTGATCGATGCTCTCGACACTCTGCTGGTAAGGTCTGACAAAGGTTCACGAATGATTTGACGGGACATTTAATGCTGTAAACGTCTTTAATTCACGTCTGATTATTAGCAGAAAACAACCGTCTCTTGAGTTAAAGCATGTTCAAGAGCAGTGCTGCGTTCAGGTGTCATTTGATAAATGTTCCTCTGAAGGTTTTGGGGAACCACACAGAGTTCCAGCGCGTGGCGTCGCTCCTCCAGGACACCGTGGACTTCGACATCGACGTCAACGCCTCGGTGTTCGAAACCAACATCAGAGGTAAAGACGTTGAATGAACCGGAAGTTACTACAATCTATGTATATCTATACAATCTATATGTGCAGGAGTCAAACTGTGTGTGTGTGTGTGTGTGTGTGTGTGTGTGTGTGTGTGTGTAGTGGTGGGTGGTCTGCTGTCTGCTCACCTGTTGTCAGGTAGAGCTCAGATGGACCTGGAGCCCGGTTGGCCGTGTTCAGGACCTCTGCTGAGGATGGCCGAGGACGCCGCCAGGAAACTGTTGCCTGGTAATAAAACACACACAGAATACACAGTACGTTGCAGTAATACTAACAGTAATACTGCTAGTATAAAGTATTTGTGTTGAAAGGAAACTCCTTCATGCCTTCAACAGACACAGACGCTTACTTTACATACATTCTTCTATCGCATTAATAATCATTTGAACAACCAGATAAATATGAACTGAGTCGCTGCTTCAGCACCACGGACAGCGACGTGGATCAATCAACACACATAACAGAATAATCATTAAAGTTACTTATCAAGGAAATAAATACATGAAATATCTTTGGGTTTTGGACTCAGACAGAAGTAAATATAAACGTCTATCTCTCAAAGTCTCAATGATTCGTGCATTACTTAATAATAATGAGTTTATGCTCCAGATACTTTAAACTAGATTACTTTGTAATCTTTTGAGCTCTGAATGTATTTATTTTAACACTAAATTCTTTGATTGATGTAATTTGTTGGTTTGTTTTAAGTTTGTAGTTTTCAATGTTTTTAACGTTTTACAGTTCTGTTTGTTTTCTGTGTTTTATGCCATCAGGACGATGAGGTTATCCTGGATCAAATAAATTAAAAATAAAATAAATATCGTGTTGTTTGTTGCAACACTATAAAGAACCAAGTCAGAATAATGGACCCTGTGCTGTAACACGTTGAAATGCTTCCAGCGTTCCAGACCCCCACCGGGATGCCGTACGGTACCGTGAACCTGCTGAAGGGAGTCAGTCCCACAGAGACGACCGTCACCTGCACCGCCGGCGTGGGAACCTTCATCCTGGAGTTCGCCACGCTGAGCCGGCTGACGGGAGACGAGACCTTCGAGAACGTGGCCCGCCAAGCCCTGAGAGCCCTGTGGAGGACCAGATCTGACATCGGGCTGGTAACTAGTCCACCTGTCTGTCTGCTTTGAGTTCAGTAATCCTGGAAACATGTTAATAGAACCGCAGTAGCTACATCCTGCGTATAAATAAAGCTTTTTAGTTTAACCTTTACGCACAGTAACAGTGCCTAGAAACATCTAACGGCCAATAAAACACAAAACTGCTGATTTACAGTTCTTCCTAGTGGAGAAAGGTAAAGAACAAGAGGACTGTTTGGACACCAGTCTGTCTGTCTGTCTGTCTGTCCAGGTGGGGAACCACATCGACATCCTGTCTCAGAAGTGGGTGGCTCAGGACGCCGGCATCGGAGCCGGGGTCGACTCCTACTTTGAGTATCTGGTGAAGGGAGCCATCCTGCTGCAGGACGAGGAGCTGCTCGACATGTTCACGGGTAACGACGACCACAACAACAACAACAACAACAACAACAACCACAACCACAACAACGACAACAACGACAACAACGACAACCACAACCACGACAACAACCACAACAACCACAACAACCACAACAACCACAACAACCACAACAAGAGCGAGGCACCACACGACCTACATTGACACCAGTTTGTTGTTCTCAGAGTACGACCGAGCCATTCAGAACTACACCCGGTTTGACGACTGGTACCTGTGGGTCCAGATGCACAAAGGAACCGTCTCCATGCCCGTCTTCCAGTCTCTGGAGGCCTTCTGGCCGGGTCTGCAGGTAACAGACCTGAACACTGAACACACACACACACAGAGTCCTGACTCGAGGCACGAATATCCATGTTTCCTTCTCTGTGTGTCTCAGTCTCTGCTGGGGAACCTGGACAGCGCCGTGAGAACTTTCCAGAACTATTACTCGGTGTGGAGACAGTTTGGAGGTCTGCCGGAGTTTTACAGCATCCCTCAGGGTTACACTGTGGACAAGAGAGAGGGGTACCCGCTGAGACCGGGTCAGTCCGCCAACCAAATATCAGCACACATGGACGAAATGTCACAAGTTGAATAAACCTGCAGGCTTTTATTTTGAAAGTCAGGAAGCCTTTAAGCCTTCAGTGAGTGTTCCTGTGTGTGTTTGTTCCAGAGTTGATCGAGAGCGCCATGTACCTGTTCAGGGCGACAGGTGACCACACCTACCTCCAGCTGGGCCTCGACGCTCTGGAGTCCATCGAGAAGATCACCAAGACGCCCTGCGGATACGCCAGCGTGAGACCAGAGAGACATTAGTCTGACGTTAACTTAGCCATAAATATAAAAACCTGCCTCTAACCAACCACGCGTCCTCACGTGTCCTCGTGACCTCACTTGTCCTCCTTGTGTCCTCCTTGTGACCTCACGTGTCTTCCTTGTGTGTCCTCCTCTTGTCCTCCTTGTGTCCGTGTGTGTCCTCCTTGTGACCTCAAGTGTCTTCCTTGTGTGTCCTCCTCGTGTCCGTGTGTGTCCTCCTTGTGACCTCACGTGTCTTCCTTGTGTGTCCTCCTCTTGTCCTCCTTGTGACCTCAAGTGTCTTCCTTGTGTGTCCTCCTCGTGTCTGTGTGTGTCCTCCTTGTGACCTCACGTGTCTTCCTTGTGTGTCCTCCTCATGTCCTCCTTGTGTTGTCTGTGTGTGTCCTCCTTGTGACCTCAAGTGTCTTCCTTGTGTCCTCACTTGTCCCCCTTCTGTCCTCACTTGTGACCTTGTGTGTCCTCACTTGTTCTCCTTGTGTCCTCACGTCTCTAAATCCTACTTATTGTGTCTTCATTAATGACTTTAAAAGTCAGTGGATCGTGTTTAGTCGACTGTGGCTGCAGTATACGAGTATTAATACACAATAACTGATGTATTCGAGGAGTTGATTGATCATTTAGTCTATGAGATGTTCAGTGTGCAATTATAAAAACAGGAAATCTTCAACCGGATAATTTAGTCTTTTATTGCTTCTTGAATGACTTAAGAAACATTGAATTAATAGGCTTGTTGTGGTTGCAGGTGAAAGACCTGCGAGATCACCAGCTGGACAACCGGATGGAGTCCTTCTTCCTGGCTGAGACCATCAAGTACCTCTACCTGCTCTTTGACCCTGCCCACTTCCTGCACGGCGGGGGGGCGGAGGGGGCCGGGTCGTGGGAGGAAGGCGGCGATGGCGGGCGGTGTGTTTTGGGGGCGGGGGGGTTCATCTTCAACACGGAGGCTCACCCTCTGGACCCGGCGGCGCTCTACTGCTGCGGACGCCACACTCGGGACCGCCAGGAGCTCCGGGACGTCCTGCTCGGCCTGTCGGAGCCCGGCGGCCAATCGAAGCCCAGACGGCCGGAAGACCGGCCTCCCGGCCAATCGGAGAGCATCGCTCTGAAGCCGGGCGAGAGGAAGACGAACCCCTCGCTGTCCTGTCCCGTTCAGCCGTTCAGCGCCCGGCTCGCCGTCCTGGGACAGGTTTTCACCGACGACACCTGAACTCATCGTGACTCTGGAAGACGAAGACAGACGGACTCAGATGTTTACGTTTATGAATCAATAATTCATGAACAGATTCAGCAGCTTCCATAAAGCTGATTCTTTTTGTTCTTGTGATGAACTCAAAGTCGCTGCGCCGACTCTCGTTGCTCTAATTCAAACTGAAGGTTGAAATATATATTTTTATTTATTAGAAATCTTGTGGTTGTTTTGTGATTTGTCATGTTGTCTGTTGCCCGAATGTAAGATATAAGATATGACTATTCATTCTCGTGTCAGACTTCTACAAAGATTACAAAAAGAAGAAATTTAAACATTTATGAGATCTAGAGTAATAATTATTAAGGTTAATAAGCGTAAACACTGACACCTGTGAGAAATAGAATCGCCATAAGAGTAATGTAAATAATAACAACATATATGAAGTGGTACTGACACCAGTATGTCCTGGAGGTCATACTGCACATGAAGTCATGCTTGAGTCATATGACGACGCTGATGAAGATCATGAGATTGAGTTGAAAGCTCCGCCCTCAACACGTCTGTAGTGGTTCAACGCTGCCAGCAGGAGGCGGTAGACTCACTCCTGCAGAGACCTCCACAGATGGTTTTAGGGGGACTGAGAGATTATATTATATATTCATTTGTGCACAAAATAATTTACTTTTTAAAGAATATGTATTTCTGACTGAGCGATGAATAAAATAACTGATTCCACGTTCAGCCTTCGATTAGCAGCAGAGAACGTGACGATACGTCTGAACGAACGAGTTCATCAACGAAGACAAAATAAAAGAACTTCTTTAGGAAGACAGGAAACAAACACTCGTCGTATTTCACACTAAGAGTTAAAAATCTGCATTAAAATGAATTTATGATGATCTGAGTGTTTGGTTTCCATCTCTGGTGTAAATTACAGACTCACTTCACAAAGCTTCAGAGTTTAATGACTCACTGAGAGGTGAGGACACAAGCAGAGAGATGAAGCGTCCTCATGTGTCCTAGCATGTCTATGTGTCCTCTCGTGTCCTCACATGTCCGTCCTTGTGTCCTCCTTTTGTCCCCACGTGTCCTCCTTGTCTCCTCGTGTCTCTGAGCTAGTTACTGTCTTCCACACTCTTCACCTCAGATTGTTTTCTGGCGGCATTGAGGTTTTTTATTTTAAATTTGAATCACCATCATGTCTCAGTGAATTGAAGGTGAAGCTCTGGGAGGAGGAGGAGGAGGAGGAGGAGGAGGAGGAGGAGGTGGTGGGATGGGAGGAGGAGGAGGACAGCAATGTCTCCTCATAGTTTACATCATATCTTTTCAAAATAAACCTCCGTCTTCACAGGAAACAACTGAGTTAAGTTTAGTAAAAGTTGTCGTTTGGGTTCAAACGTCCCGTACGTTGAAGCCCTCGAGGTCGAAGGAGACGAGGAACTACTTCACATCCAATGTTCTCTGTTTCAGTGATGATGTTAATAATAATAAAACATGTTTAATGTAGTTTTACTCTGTGAGGTCTCAGGTTCTGTGATCAACGTTCAGTCTGCAGAAGAAATCTTTCGTCTTTAATCTGTTCGTCGTTTAGCTTCAGCAGAAATCCCCTCCTCCGTCTCTCAGGGTGGGACTCTCTCCTCTCCTGTCTC